TCCCCTTTACTCTCCTCACTATACTCAACACATATGCCCTCTGTGATACTTTGCTATTAACTCGTTTATTGAATAAATGCATGTTTGGCTCATTGTGCCCAGTGTTCTTTTAAATCCTTGCTTCAGGAGATGAAACAAAAATCTTTGCCATTGTGTAACTTGCACTCTATAAGAGGGGGCATAAAATTAGTAAATTAGTACATTTTACATTAGTAAAATGTAGTGTGTTATAATTTGGTGGTGCCATTAAAAACCAGGACAGGATAAGAAGGATGGGAATGTTCTAGGTGGCTGAGGAAGGTATTAATGCTACCAGCCCAAAGGCAAGCAAGGTAGTTCGAATCCACCAGCTGCACCATGGGAGACAAATGGGAAATGGTCAATGTCTTCCCATACCGTTTACAGTTTAAGAAAACAACCTGGTGGGTCAGTTATGGGTTGGTTCTGACTCCATTGCAGTGATTGACTGACTGATTTTTCAATATAGTGATCAGTTTAAGCTTCATTGAGTAGAATTTAAGGAATTAAAAGAATGTTCACAGTGAACATTCAAGGGGAAAGAACATCCAGGCAGAAAGAATGAAAGCTCTGGATCAGGAGTTTACTTACATGTCCATTGAGTAGCAAGAAAGCTAGCATAGCTGGAGAGGGAGACATGAATAGTGGATAAGGTTATAGGGAATGACCAGTCATCAGATAATCTGTAAAGTAAGATTCATGAAGCTTCTAACACAGGATAAGCATGTCATATATAACTTGTATTTTCAAAAACTACCTAGCTACTTAGTTGAGATTTGTCTTGGAGGTGGTGAGTTACCAAATGAGAGATGATAGTGATTTACACCAAGATGGTTAATAGTGGAGTTAGTAAGAAATGGCTGAATTTCTGAATACATTTTCAAGGTAAGAGTTACAGGATATAGTAGGGATTGGATGTGGAGCATGGTATTGGAGGCATGAAGTATGGCTTCAAAGGTTTTGTCATATATAGCATTTTTTCACCTGGGGTTGGGGACAGTTACAGATGGAGATGAGTACACTGGTGGATTCAGGGGAGAGATCTACACTAGTGTGTGACTTTAGGAAGCATCAAAAAAGGAATTTAAAGCCATGAGACTTAACTGGTAAAACTAAGGAAAGAGGTAGATAAAAAGTAGCCGTAGATGAAGGACTTACTCCTGTAATGTTAAGAGTTCAGAGGGAAAAGGATTAACTAACAAATGATCTTGAGAAGGATGAACCTGTCAGATAAAAGGATAAGCAAAAAAGTATAGTGCCCCAGAAACCAAGTGAAGATGCTTTATCTAAGTAATAGCATCATCAGCTGTGTAGGATATTGTGATCTTGACAGTCTATTTCTTCTGAGTCCTGGAGGCGAAAGAAAAACTGGGAATGAGTTTAAGAAGCGTTGGAAGGAAAGGAATAGCAAACTTAAGAGTTTTGCTGCATCAAAGCTATGAGAAGTACCCATCATTTTGTTTGTTAATGAGAATGATCCATAGGGTAGAGAAACTTGTTAGAAAAGAAACAAATGAATTGTGAGGATGACATTCATCTGTTTTTTAGGGGCATAAAGAATATTATACAAGTAGAAAGGTTCGTTTAAGTAAAAATTCAAATGTAGTGATAAGTAGGAAAAGATGAAAGTGTGGATGTTGGAAGGTATAATGCCAGGTAGGAAGATAGAGTGTATCTCAGGGTGTAGGGTTTGGTAGTTATTTAGATATATATGGATGTGAGTTTTTGGAGGTTTTCATTGCTTCTGCTTCCTGGGTAGAAAAATTTGTTGCATTTGGATATATTTGTATTGTATTATACACTGATTTACCACCAAGTCATTATGCACACATCAAATATATAATGAATACATGCTACATTCTCGGTATCTGTCATCACAAAAAACAAACCCAGTACTGTCATTAATCCTAACTCTCAGCAGCCCTGGGACAGGGTAGCACTACCACACAAAGCTTCCAAGGCTATAAATCTTAGAAATAATTTTTTTCTTCCTGGAGCAGCTAATGAACTCAAACTTCTAACCTTTGGTTTAGGAGCTTTTTTTTTTTCCTTTTCTTTAAATCTGATGACTGGTTTGAGTGGGGGGAAAAATGGTTTTCCACTCAACAGCTCATACACTTTGTTTCCTGGTATTCGCCAACCAAGTTCTTTAACCACTGTCCCACCAGAGCTCTAATCCTGGGCAGTAATGTCTCTGCCTTCATGGAGCATATATTTTAGTAGCTAGATACTGATAAGTAAGCAGATACATATCAGCTTTGATGAAATAAAGCAGTGTGAGGAGTAAAGCTAACTAGGAAGCAGTTTTATACATTGGCACAGAATGGCTCTTTGATAAGGTGACATGTAAAGAGAGACAAATGCATATTCACAGCAAGAACAGCCATTACAAAGTGCACTCATATTGAAGAAACCAGTGAAAAGAATGAGGGATGGAGAAGAAGCAGTTAAGGTCAGAAAGTTAATTAGATGGCTAGGTTACAAAGGTTTTGCAGACCAGTGGAAGGCTTTTTTTTTTCTTTTTTAACCTGAGTGAGATAAAATGCAGCTACTGGAGGATTTTTGACAAATGACTGATATTTTTTAAAAGATTGAATTGTTGCTCTCAGGAGGTAGCTGTGGATAGGAAGAGGTAGAAATGGAGAGATTTCTTAGTAATTTCAGTGACACGTGGTGCTGACTTGGGCAGAGTCGTGGCACCACTTATACTATGGCTGTATTCAGAAGTATGAGCAGAAAGTGTTCCCTAGTAGAGTAGCTGCAGGTTGAGAGAAGGAAAGAAGTGATGATGGAAGGGTTTGGAGCAACTCTACAAGAGTAGAGTTTCTGAGGTGAGGAAGACTGAAGGTAGAGTAGAGGGATTTTCCAGAGGGAAAGTAATAGCAGGAATATGAGTTAAGTTACCTATTTGATTATTTTTAAATTATATTTCAGGAGCTCTGGTCTAGTGAGTAGAGAGTTCTGCTAACCCAGTGGTAGCACCTCTCCATCAGTTCAATTCACCAGCAGTTTCCGAGGGACAAAAATGGGTGGACTCCTCCGATGCAGTGTACTACCTCCAAAAACCTACTAAAGGGTCAAGTATAAGTTGATTTCAACTCAATAATGAGTTTGATTTGATCTGGTAGCATGGTGCATTGTGAGTTCTACTGCCTGCCACAAAGATTACAGCCTTAGAAACCTGATAGAGGGTTGCTGTGAGTCAGAATTATCTCAATGGCAATAGAGTTGCTTTGATTTCTATTTCCATCAGGGGTCAAATAGGCATGTGTTGGTTTTGGGGGTTTTTGTTTTTGTTTGGTTTTTACCTCAGGCACTCTTTCAAAGTTTATTTTTAAAAAATATCACAAATTAGTAATTTCATAATTTCCTTGCTATTCAATACACTTTGTTAAGTAGTATTCAAGTATAGGCAGGTTTTTTAATGTGAAGACGAAGGAGAGCTGTCACTCCTGGGTGTATAAATGTGATAATCGTTAACAAATGTTATATGCAGTCAATTCAGTTCTAACTTGTAGGAACCCTGTACAGGAGAATCGAACTGCCTTTTAAGGAACTGAATCTTTACTGTTTTCCACTGCTACTTAGAAGGTTTTCATTAGCCAGGTGTTTTTTTTCCCTGAAGTAGATGGCCAGTCCTTTTTTGTATCTCTCTTAGTCTCAAAACTTGGCTAACTATTCACCATGAAGAACCATACTGATATTTTAAATAACTGGTCAGTAGCTTCCAGTGTCACAGCAGCATGCAGACTACCATAGTCCACTAACCTGACAAACAGGTGACATTTCAGGAGGTAGCATATAAACAATATAATATTGAAGGAAAAATGCTAGATTGCACTAAAGGCATTGGGACAAAACAAAGCTACAGACATTGACATAATACCAGTTGAAATGTTTGCGCAAAAAAAAATACAAACTGGAGAACTCGTCTATGCCAAGAAGTTTCGAAGATGGCTACCAAGCCAACCTACTGAAGAGATCCATATTCATATTCATTCCAGTGAAAAATGATTCAGCAGATGCAGAGATTATATATAGAATAATTATAGATTATAGTCAAAATCACATACAAATAAAATCTTAACAAAGATAATAAAATAAAAAACCAGTCAGCAATATGTCCATGGGGAGCTGCCAGAAATTTAAGCTGGATTCAAGAGAATGTGTGGAATAGATGGGTATTGTTGCTGATGTCAGATATCTTTTAAGTGAAAGCAGAAACTGTGAAAAAGATACTTACTTGTATCAGGATTAGTGGGAGATCTATCAACAATCTGCGTTATGCAGATGACACAACCCTGCTTGCTGAAACTGAGGAGGACCTCATGCACTTGCTGCAGAGGGTCAAGGACTGCAGCCGTAAGTATGGATTGAGGCTCAATGTCAAGAAGACAAAGATTCTCACCCCTGGACCAATTGGTAGCATCAGGATGGATGGTGAAGAGATTGAGATTGTTCACAGCTTCAGTTTGCTCGGCTCCATGGTCCACGCTCTTGGCACGAGCAGCCAGGAAATAAAAAAACATACTGCAATGGGAAACTCGGCTGTTAGGGACCTCTCCAAAGAGGTAAAAGAAAGAAGTAAAGTCAGAGAGCTCCTTGGAAGAAAGGATGGCGAGATCTTATCTTGCTTACTTCAGACATGTCATCAGGAAGGAGTCTTCAGAAAATCCTCAGTGAGATGTAGTAACACAGTGTCTGCAGCTAGGCTCAAACATAGCAGTGCTGTAAGGATGGCACAGAACTGGCTCTATTAAACAAAGGTCACTGTGAGTCAGAGCTAATTTGATGGCATGTAACAACTATCTAATGGTGTCAGTGTCAAAATCTTAGGGAAAAAACTAGAAAAGTATATTTTAAATATTCCTTGTAATTCTATAATTATTATGTTAGATTTCTATTGTATATTTATTATAGTAAATATGTAACATTATTTATAATGTTACATTCTCATTTTTTACTTTTTTTTTTCTATTTAGGACATCAATGCAAGCCTGAAGAGGAAAAACAATTCCTTCCACCTAAGCCATGGCTTATCAGTTATACAGAAATACCACCTTGGGAAACAGTCTTCAAGAGAGCCTAGATGAGCTCATTCAGGTGGGAGACTAACAAACAGACTAATAAACAGTTTATTTAGATGAGCCTGTAATTATTCTGACCATACTTTATCCCAGGCAAAGAGGTGTGAAGTAAAATAATTCGTACAGTTTGATCCAGCATGTCTTTCTAACAAATAACCTCAAGTTCCTGTCCTGACTACAGGAAACTCATTGTACTGACCTAACAACAGGACATAAAATGTATTAATGACTGAACGAGATTGTTGTTGTTGGGTGTTTTCAAGTTGAATACAGTTCATGGGGACCCCATAAACAACAGATCTGAACCCTGTCCTGCCCTGTGCCATCCTCATCATCTCTGACACTCTTGAGCTGATTACTGCAGTCCTGCCTGCAGTCACTGTGTCAGTCCATCTCGTTGAGGTTGTCTTCTCTTTGGCCAGCTCTACCTTTCCAAGTATGATGGCCCCTCCAAGAAATACCATCTCCTAGCATCGTGCCCAAAATATGTGAGACAAAGTTTTGCCATCCTTGCCTCTGTTTTTTTGGCAATCTAGAGATTTTTGTTACATGTAAGTTGCTGGGTTTTCCCTCTTTGTAATCTTAAGAAAGGGATATTGTCTTTTTTTTTACTAATATTTTTTATCTTTCATATACATTACATTTCATGCATAGACACTGTGTTTAATACAGTCTTTAATTTACATTATATTAATGTAGATTGTGGAAAAGAATTCTTTATAATGTAAAGGTAATTTTGTCCAATTAAATAAGTCTTTAAGTTTAAACTAGAAAATAGAATTTCCATAACCTTCTTACATACACCTATACAAGAATAAGTATTAAAAAAAAAGAATAAGTATTCCCATTTGTTTAGATGTATTTTATGGACCTCAGGATTTATTAAAGATTAAGATTTTTCTTTTTTCTTTAGCTTTTTGTAATAATGGACTCATACAGTATTTGTCCTGACTTAATTCACTCTGCATATTATTCACCAGATGCATCTGTGGTGTGCTGTGGTGTTTGGGAAATCATTATTATTTAATGTTACATAGTATTCCATTTATGATCCATAGTTTGCTTACCCATTTATCTATTGATGGACACTTAGGTTATTTCCATCCCTTTGCTGTTTTAAATAATTCTGTGAACACAGGTATGCATATTACCTGCTCATGTCCTTGTGCTTATTTTGTTAAGTTCTGTGATTATTTTTTCTTCTTTCAGTTAGATGAAACTTGGTCTCCTCAATTTATTGAATGCTTCTTCCTAGACACTTCTAGGAAAGATAGTTTTATTTTGGCTTTGTAACATTACTGTGTGTTTTCAAAATTCCTGTGTTAAGATACTGCAAAAAAGCTTTTCTGACTTTGCTTTCTAATTGTCAGTTATGGCAAAATACAATAAGGAATTCTAGTTTTAAGATCCTAGTTAACGTTGTTTAAATTTTAGATAATTCCTCTATATTTTTATAAAATTTTTTTTTATGTTCTCCCCTAAGGTTTATGACTTTTTCCCCTTTCAGTCTCAACAGATAACCCCCCAACTTGCTCTTCAAGTTCTCCTTCAGTTTGATAAGGCTATCAATTCAGCATTGGCTCAGAGAGTCAGGAACAGAGTCAATTTCAGGGTAAGGACATTTTTCTAAACTCTAAGCCTACACTAATGATTATTAAATGGGAAGATATAGGGGCTACCATATTTATCAATTCTAAAATGAAAAGATGGGCATATAAAAATTTGGAACTGGTTTTTATATACTTACTTTGAAATGACCTGTACACTAAATTCATGCACTTAATTTTAGATACAGAAATATTTTTAAATATTTTCATCCCAGTATTTCACAAATCAGCTTGTGCTGATTTCACAAATGTGAAAATGTGTTTCACAGACGCCCTGAGGAGTCATTGAGATTTCAAATACATTTCAACATTATCTGCAGGGTTAAAGGGAAGGGGCAGCCTGGTCTCTTAGGACCACTCAGTGTTTTTCAAACCTACTTCAGGGAATTAAAAATCATTTCAAGAAAACATCATATTACTTCCCACAACCTCTTGGATAACCTAGCATAGGAAAATGGAAATACCAGTGTACAGTGATGTGTTCTGCTAACTGATGAGGCTTGGTCTCCTAGATGACCAAGATTCTTGTTCTGTTTGGTGGTTAATACTTATTGTAAAAAGCCACTGTGGAAAAGAAATAACCCTAGGGCATTTGATATTGATGGAGTTATAATGACATTGAAGTACATAATGGTGACTGGTTTACTAAGATCATTTATCTAATATTTATTCTACGTTGTGTTGTGGGCATAACCTACAACTCATACAAAAAAGGCATTAAAGACTTAAATGTAAACAATGTATGACAAGAACTTAAGTGTTAATTTTTTCTCGTATATTTACAAACATTTACTACTACATATTAGTTATCAATCTACATATCAGAAACACACAAGAACAAGTTGATAAGACATTATTTGACAATAGTGAAGGAATAAAATGTGCTTGTATTTTATACATGAATTTTAAAATCCCTACTATTGTCAAGTTGATTGTCACTCTGTTTACAGAACTGTTCCATGAATGCCTCTCCTCTTACCAATTGCACATGCCTGAAAACAGTAAATATGAAGAGAAAATTTATAATGATACTGTGTCAATGTTTTGTTTTAAAGGGCTCTTTAAATACGTACAGATTCTGCGATAATGTGTGGACTTTTGTTTTGAATGATGTCGAATTCAGAGAGGTGACAGAGCTTATTAAAGTGGATAAAGTGAAAATTGTAGCCTGTGATGGTAAAAGTAAGTGTTCACCTGATTATTGTGAAAGCCATACTACTTGAAAACTTGTTTTTATTGCTCTTTACAAATTTCTTATCTGAAAGATTGCCTGTCTTATGGCAACCTGGCCTGTGCCCAGTTTAGACTCTGAATTCCAGGTCTAACCCTTCTCATGTTGTGGGAGAAAGAAAACAAATAGATGAGTGAGTTTTTATTATTTCAGTTACAAATGTTAAGTGTTTGTCACCCTTTACACAACCGTTTTTTAACTTGAAGTAAATATTAACTTTATCATTTATCAAAGGGATTTTATATACAGCTTCTTTTAAAGGAATACTTTAAAAGCAGGTATCAACTAAACATAAAAAATCTTGTCAGCAGTAATGCTAACTGGCTAGTCAGAATCAACTCGTAGCTGACCCTCCAGCAGAATTTCAGAGGCAGTAAATCGCAGGGAAAGAGATTGTCCATCCTTATCTTGAGGAGCAGCTGGTGGATTTGAACCATGTGCCTTTGCATTGACAGCACAACTCTTTTCCACTAAGGCACCAGAGCTCACCCAGTCTACTAGATCTGTGCATGTACAGCCTCCAGCATAGACCTAGGAACTGCAGTCCTTAAATGCTCTGGAAGTTGAACATCTCTGCTTTCTGTGCCAAAGTTAGTGGTTTCCTTTTTGCTCTTTTATTTTTTTAAAGAGGTGCTTAACTTTCCTACATATTCTGAACCGTTTTTGGCTTAAAGTAGTTATCCCTAAAATTAGAAAAAGTAACATTTCTCAATGATGGCAAAGAAATGAAGACTTAGTAAAAGTAAGCTCATTTTGTTTCAAAAGTCAGCTTTCTGGAGTAAGTAAAACTGATTTCCTAAGAAAGAAGCTAGAATTTTTGTCTATTTCTTACCAAGATGATCTTCAAATACAGTTCTTTTCTAATTGTTGTCAGGTACTGTAAGGTCAGAACTGACTCATAGTTGCCCCTCTGGCAGTTTTTCAGAGGTAGTTAATTGCTTGGGAGGATATTGCCTGTCTTTTTCCTGCAGAGCAGCAGGGGATTGAATTGCATGCCTTCAGGATTGTAGTGCAGTTTTTTGCCAGTAGGTCACAAGAGCTCCCTCTTTTCTAATTATTTGTTATATTTCTTTTCCTTTTTTTAAATTAAAATTTTGAGACAGCAAGAAGACTTAAGAAGGGGGGGTGGCGGAGATGAGGGAAGGATGTGGTCCCTTAACAGTGTATATTACCTAAGTGTGGTGGAACTAGGTTTTTTCCTAGCATAAATGTGGCAAGGTAAGCATTGACTTTTTACCTCTGCCTTGAGAGTTACTGACATACTCAAGATATTTTTTTATCAGCTTGGCCTACTTTCTTCCTACTGCTCACACCACTGCCATCATCAGTTTGTTTCATGTGTGTACATATACTTAAAATATTTTCATTTAAAATTAAATTCCTTCTTGAGTTTATTTTCTCTTTTTCTTTTCTAGATACTGCCTCTAATACTACAGAATGAACGGGTGGAAATGGCTTTTTTATGCTATCCTCTGTTATGACTCTTGGCCTTTTGAAGAGAAACTTAGAAGAGACTTTTTTAATTTATTCTAGCAATGCAGAAATTACTCCATTGTGCTGTGCTGTCGGAGAAGTCCAGTAGAAAGCTTGTAACTTTAGCCGCTTCCATTCACTTACTACGCAGCATGAAGAGACCCAATTTTTTTTATTAACAAATCAAAAGTTGTTACCTTCCTATAAATATTCTTTAATAAATGAATTTTAAGACATACATTGCATAACTGGTGGACTTTTTCTCCAATATGGCAATACTGGTTACACATGATTTACTGTGATAAAATATTAAAAACAAAATATTACCATTAAACCACAAGTATATAAAAGCAAGACAACATAAGTGTGTAATTCAGTGACAATAATTATATTCCCCATGTTGTACCACTATCACTACTATCCATTTCCAAATTTTACATCATTCCCAAACATGAACTTGGTACCCCTTAAGCAGTAACTGCCATTCTTTCCTCACTTCTCAAGTTCCTAGTACTGTTAACAAACTTTTATTTGTTTTCATTTTATACTGATTTATTTACAGAGTTTGAACACATTGTTTTTCACAAAAGATCCTTCATATTTCCTTCATACACACCCCACCCATCGAATTGTGCAGCTCTGTGTTTAACACTCCACCCCCTCATTCTCTGCTTCCACCGTCTTCCACCCACCTTGGATCCTTATACTCATTCTACAATAATGGTTTTGTACAGTATTTGTCCTTGTGGGACTGAGTTCACTTGGCATAGTGCTCTCCAGTCCCTCCCAAGTTAGGTAATTACAAAAATCATTGCTCCTGCGTGCTGTGTAGTATTCCATTGTATGAATGAACCACAACTTATCCTAGTAAACACTTGTCTCTGTCTTTTTACCTTTTAGTAAAATGATACTGATAAGCATTCTTAAATAACACTGTGTTCCAAGCAAAGGAATGTTTTAATAGTCATGTTAGCGTCATCAATTTTAATTTTTTTTTTCTAAAAGCTTCAACTAAGACAAAAGAAAATGATGTATAGAATTTAATTTTACCTAGAAAAACTTAAGTCCAAAACCAGAGGAATTACTAGTGTGGGAAAAAAATCAATTAAATATAAGTAGATATGAAAAAGACAACCTTTAGCCAACTTCCGTAACAAAACAAAAAACCCTCACCACAAAAACTAGTGCTCACATGACCTGTAAATTATTTCTTGAATTGACCATACTCCCAAGTTTCATACATTTTAGAATGATCTGCATTTTACCAGTTAATAGACTTTCAATAGAAGAAAGTTTCCCTTGCTTATCCTCTCACTAGAAAAACATCTACCATCAAGTCAATTCTGG